AAAAAAAAAAAAAAAAAAAGAGAGACTGGCTCCACCATGCTTTCACAAGTAGGGAAAACTACAGCCATACTTTCTGGGATTTCTATTTCTAAATCTGGATATACAAAGGATTGGGGGAATAGAGAAAGAATAAGGGACAGAATGGGAATGGAGACAGGTCACAAAAATATAATTTAAAAAAAGAAGAAAAAGAAACAAATTGGCAAGTACAGTGGCTCAGACCTTTAATCCCAGCACTTTGGGAGAATGAGACAGGAGGATCACTTAAGGCTAGGAGTTCAAAACCAGACTGAGCAACATAGCAAGACCCTGTCTCTACAAAAATGTAAAAAAGTTAGCCAAGTGTGGTGGCATGTGCCTGTAGTCTGATCTATTCAGGAGGCTGAGGCAGAAGGATCGCTTGAGCCCAGGAGTTCAAGGCTGCAGTGAGCTACAATCATGCTACTGTGCTCCAGTCTGGGCAATAGAGCCTTGTCTCTAAAAATTAATTAATTAATTAATTAAAAATATAGGCCAGGCATGGTGTTTCATACCTGTAATCCCAGTACTTAGGGAGGGCAAAGCAAGAGGATCACTTGAGGCCAGGAGTTCAAGACCAACCTGGGCAACGTAGCAAGACCTAGTCCCTATAAGAAATAAAACATATAAAGATGATCTGAAATACCACTTTACACCCACTAGGATGGCTAGAATGAAAATATGTATAATAATAAGTGTGGACAAGGATGTAGGGAAATTTTAACCTTCATATATTGCTTATAGGAAAGTAAAATGGCATAACCAGTGTGGAAAACAGTCTGACATCTCTTTTAAAAATTAAACATTGTGGCTCTTGCCTATAATCCCAGCACTCTGGGAGGCTGAGGTGGGTGGATCACTTGAGCTCACAAGTTCATGAGCAGCCTCAGCAAGGCTGGGCTTTGTGGCAGATGCCTATAGTCCAAGCTACCTGGGAGGCTGAGGCAAAAAGATCTCTTGAGCCCAAGAGTTCGAGGTTGCTGTGAGCTATGACACCACGACACTCTACCTAGGGCACTCTACTGGGGGCAAGAAAGTGAGACTTTGTCTCAAAAAATAAAAATTAAGCATAAAGTTATCTTATGACCTAGCAATTTCCTAGATATATTTTCCAGGAAAACAAAAATATATACCCACACAAAAACATATACACAGATGTTCATAGCAGCATTATTAATAATGGCCAAAAAGATAAAACAACCCAGATATCCATCAACAGATGAATGGATAAGTAAAATGTGGTTTATCTGTATAATAGAATGTTATTTGACAAGAAAAAGAAATGAAGTACTGATACATGCTATAATATGCATAAACTTTGAAAATGTTATTCTAATAATAAATGGAAGAAGCCATTCACAGGCAGCCACATATTGTGTGATTCCATTTATATGAAATGGCCAGGTGAAGCAAACGTATAGAGTCAGAAAGTAAATTAATGGGCTCAGCACCTATAGCTCAACCGGCTAAGGC